AGGTTTCTATCCAGATATCGGCAGAAGTGCTAGGGATGTCCTCTATAAGGGTTATTTGAGTGATATCTTTTTGGCTGATTTAAGCACACGATGGAAGATTAAGAGTTTGACAGCTGATTTCAAGGTTGATAATAAATTCAATTTGTTCGCAGCCATCACTTTGGATGAGCCTTCACTCGAGGTTAAAGCTACCATCAACTTTAGAACCCCTGACCTAGAACCTGGGAGGTTAACAATTAAACATACACATCATTATTCTAGTATATCTGCAACTACAGGGCTGATTACAAACCCTTTGATTAACTTTTTCGATATCTTTGGAACCAAGATGTGTACACTTTGGGCTGATATCACCTTCAACAGCAAGAGTTGTACCTTAACTAAGTACAATGCAGGGCTGAGCTACAACTGTGTTGATTACGTGGCTTCCTTAAACTTGAATGATAGGTTTTGATACTCTGTGTGCATCGTATTATAAATTGAGGCCTCTCACGAAAAGTATTGTTGGAGCTGAAATGCCTTACAGCTTCTCGAAGAACAAAAAGATTGTTATTGTTGGACTGCAACATGCCTTGGATGACCTAACTACTGTGGGCAAAATCAACACTGTAATCCAGCAGAAATGGAGACCAAAATGTCTGCTTCCATTATCTGGAGAATTTGTTAGTAAGTCGACTAATAAGTGATAAGAGTCCCAAGTTGGGGCTATTATCTTTAGGTTGAGGGTCATTTATCTTTAGGGGGTCTTCCGCCAAAATGCAGTACTTAATATTCGGCCTGGTTTTTGTCATCGGTACAATATTGTCAGAGTTGCCCATTATGATGACTAAAGAGAATCTTCAGGATTTCTTTTCCTAGCTTTTTTTACACAACTCTGGCTGCCATTTTTTGCCTTGACTCCGGTATTTCAAGGGCCTGGATGTAGTTTGTTACGATTTGCAATTAGTTTCTAGCAAATTTTTATATATCAAGAACACCTTAGTTTGATGAATGTCATTAGTCATATGCCTGGTCGTTTAGTTTGATGAATGTCATTAGTTATATGCCTGGTCATTTAGTTTGAAAAAAAAAATGGTATGATGAAATTTTGATTTTACCCAATTTATGCTTAATATCACATGAAAAAAAAGGTCGAATTCTTACGTTCTCTGTTCTCAAATTTTTTTTCAAAGTATATATGTGTATAAAACTTAAATGTTGTAATTTTTTATTGAGTAAATCTATGTTCAAAATATTGAAGTGGTTATGACATAACGAAATGTTGATTTTACATAATTTATACTCAATAACATATGAGAAAGGATGGATTTAGGCGTTCTCTGTTCTCAAACTATTTTTTCAAAACACATAAAACTAAAAATTTTAGAATTTACTAATTTTGTTTCACCAATGATGATTTCAAAAAAAAGGCATATCTAATTATCAAAAAGTTATTTTTTCTTAAGAAACAAACAACTCCTTTTTTAAAGGTAAATCATGTACTTAAATAATGAAAAAAGAAAAATTACTCCTAAGACCAAAAAATTCTGAAAAAGACTAAAACATCTGTAAATTCCTTCTCAATCTACTGTAAATTAGGAGAAAATTCACAGTAGAAAATTCAATTTGCAGAGATGTCCGTACAAGATACACCTGAATCAACCCTCATCTTTGGTCTTCGATTTCTCTAGAGATGTATGTATTGGAGTATACCGTCTTATTTGTACATTTCAACCATGCAAACATTTCTGACCCTCACTAATAAATTTGACTAAGAAGTTTGTTTCACGATCGTTGGTGAGATAATATGTTCGGAGTATCGAGCATCAAGCAAAATTATGTCAGGCTTAAAAATATTTGGGTCTTGCTTTCTTATCAATCATCTACTAAACCCTGAACCCGACAGCCCGTAATATGTATTTGTTGTAACTGCATTATGTGGATTTGGTGTAGCAGTTGGCTATTGATGGATTTGTGAATTGGTAGCCTTGATAGGCTTGATAGTAGAAACCAAACTATAGTCAAGAGATTCGGATTCCACTAATAATTGACCTGCAGAGCACCTCACTACCTCTAAAGTATGTCCTATGTCATCTATAACTTTGTGCTTTTGTACCCCAAACCCAAAACACTTTATCAGTGTTTCCATCAATAGGCTATTATTTATTCGATCTTTCCCAAAACGTTTTCATGAGATCCAGGACATCAATTGCAATTCTATATGTCGGGATATGTAGTTGAGTATTAAAAAAATTCAGTCCCAAAACTTCAAAGTGAGTTGATGTATTTAAGTGGTTTACGCCAATTTGATATGCTTCCTCAAAGAACTCTTCTAAGGACGACAAAACATTCTTGATCTTATGAGCAAGTTTCTAACAAAAAACAGTAGGATTTGAAAATGAAAAATAAGGGAGTATGTTGTTCCTTTTCCGGAGCCCTCAATCTTTTTTTGAAAAAATTCAGAAGCCAATTTCAAAACATTAAACAGGTTTACCAAAATTAATTGTTGATTTTACCCAATTTACAACTAATAACATTGGAGAAAGGCTAAAACATAGCCTTTATTCTCGAATTATTTTTAAAAACATATATAGGTAAAAATCATAGAATTACTACTTTTCATTCAGTAATAGTGGATTCAAAGTATTCAAGTTGTTATGCTATGAAAAATTATTGATTATACCCAATTTAAGCTCAATAAAAGAAAGTCGATACGGACTACATTTTGGCACTCAATAACTTTTGTTCTTTAATATTCTTGTGAATGCAAAAAAAAAAAATGGTTAGTCTCTGTCAATGTTTTTTTCATCGACTTTTTCGTCTAATTTAAATAAATTGTCGAGAAAGCCAGCTAAACCTCTATATCGTGAAAAATGTGAAACTAGTACAAAGTAAAGGGTTTTGATCGGTTTTTGGCTTTCTTGTCGGTTATTCTAAGTAGACGAACAAAAGGACGTAAAAATTTCAGTAGCGAAAAATCTTTTTCTGTTTTACCATCAAATCCACCTTTACTACCATTAGATAAATCCACCTTTGCATTGCCTTCTTAGACTCCTCGGTGGAAACAAACTTAAAGATTACCTCTCCTAGTTTCTTTTTCATTATGCTAGAATGTCCAAAAAATTCCACAATTTGTGATTTCTTGAAAGACTAAGGAAGGCATGCTCTTCGGTCTAACTTATCATTTTTCGACTACACCATAATGTACATAAGCAGCAATAACATTAAAATAATCACGCTTTTTGAACTTGAATACTTTTAACATACCTTCGCACTTGAATACTTGAACGTATTTCCTTTCCATATTATGTTGATCCCTATAGAGAGCAAGTTCAACAATCAACATGCACGATTGATGCAAAGCCAACAACGCCTTCTACTAAAAGTTGCCATATCAAACTAAAGGTTTGCATTCGTTTTTGGGAGCGGAATTCATCATTGGGAGAAGCATGTGAGTCAACAGAATGTATCATTGATAAATGAACTTGGTTTTGGAGTACCAATTGGCTTGGCACTAGATCTTAAAGTCTAGCTGTTAATAAGAAGGTAGGTAGCATACCACAAAAATACAAGATCATTTGATTGATGGTTATGTATCAAATCTGCACTTCATACTTTTACAAGGAAGGTATTGACAATAATCTAAGCAGAATATGGAATAAATGCTAATTCGGGAGAAAAAGTGCACGGTGAAAAATATAAATTTTATTCAAACCAAACTGAGACTATAGAAACCCGACAACTACTAATCAGATACACACATATGATGTTACATAAAATCACATAAAGAACCATTTCCTAAAACACATAAGTTTTAATTAATTAATAGAAAAATAAAATTTTCGGCTCTAATGCTTAAGGTTAGGGATTTGGAGAAAAGTAATTGCAATGGGAAATCTAACCTTTGTGGATGCCAAGAATGAAGTGGGGATGATGGTAGTTAAGAGGAGAAAGAAATATGATGCAAGAAGGGATTGGATTGAAGTACTTTAATTTGGCAGTTTATATAGGTGTTGGAACGTACTGATTGAATAGCATCATGATGCTTCAATTGGAAAACTGGCGGACGTGTCTATATATTGTTTCACAGGAGAGGAAAAGGAGTCGTTCCACGTGAGAGGAAAAACAAATATATGACGTGAAAGAAAATGTGGGTCCAATCAATATTTTTCTAGTGAGTGTAAAACACAAATTGAGATTGGCAGTTCTATATATATATATATATATATATATATATACTTAATAAAATTGGCACATGTGTGGAGTGATTACTACCAAAGTTCACTTACGTGAAGTGAGCAACTCCCTAATCTATTTATATTTATACAAAATGATTTTCGCGTGAATGGCACGTTATTAGATGTTTAGTCAAAGTGTACAGTAAAAAAATTATTATTACCCTTCAGTATCAATAATTTTTAATTTTAAAATTTTATTTAATATTAAAAAAAATCTCAACTAAATAGACCTGTTAGCTAAGCAGAAGATATCAGTTACACGAGATTTTATTTCCTTTTCTAAAATGGTGGTTGTAGTTATATTGATTGTTTAAAATGGTGGTACAGGTTATATTGTTATCAAGTGGGGCGGATTGTTGTAATGGATTTTTTAATTGATAGAGGATATCTTGTGCTATTTTTTTGAGATGCTTATCTAATTATAAATGTAATTTCTTTCTTTACTAACTTTTTTCATTGTTAGTTATAATTTGTAACACAGGATGGTTTAAATTCTATCTAGTTATAGTATTTGTATAAGTTGATATCTCTAATTCACATTTCAACAAAATATTTTGATATTATTGCCTGAGGTGTGAACTTTTAGATGGTTTAAATTTCTATTTTCATAATAATTTTTTTTAGATAATAATTTTTATAACTTTTAAAAAATCACGAGAACAGAAAAAAAATTTTATTTTAATTAAAATTTTGATAAAATTTAAATTAAAAATCATTACAAACGGCACGACGCACGTTAGTTATACTATATACATATGTTGCAACAATGAGGAGGTGAATCTCATGGGTAACTGGATCTTTAGAGAGGAGGATCATGGTAACGGTCCAAGGCAGGTAAACAAGGAGTGTCGATCTGTTGAACCTACAAAAAGGGCTAAGGGAAAAGGAAAAGTTGTGTCTAATCACTCTGGACACAATTTAGAGAAATTATGTGGTATTGTAGATGAGAGAGTACCTAAAAATCAGACAATTGTAGCTCACGAAATATCCAAGGAAAATGAGAAGGCTAAAAATAGTGGAGGGGTTTGTATGGATGGATTTGGATTACATATGCAGCAAAATGTTATTCCAGTCAACACTAGTCTTGACCCAACAAAACATCAAGCGGTTATGATTTTAGATAGTCCAACTCAAGCATCTTGTGGTCATGAAAGACTGAATGGATTTGATCCGGACGATGATCTGATGTTGGATGCCAATCAAACTAGTCGCCGGCTGAATCCATCTCCAGAGGATCCGTTAGCTAGATGGCGAAGTGATGGTGATCCATCTGTTGATGATGGAACCATGGATGAGGAAGCTTGTTTGGGAACTACTGTTCCGAGTAGCATCTAATAAATATTGTCTTCTCTTTTCATCTGGTTTTTCTTATTCATAGCATCACTTGGCGTTTTCTAGAGATTGGTTTGATAAATTTCTTTCGAGCCTTTACATATATTAAGCATGCATATAAATTATCTACTGGAGGTGACACTATTTGAATTACGGATATCACAAGAACATGAAGAAGTCTCAAGATTTATGGAGGAAGTTTTAAAGCGATCAAGGTACTGTCAAATAAGGTCTTATTCATAGTTTTCTTATTTTTGGTCTTAGTTCACTTGTTTAGTAGTTGTTGCATTTTCTAGGCAATAGCCTTTTTCATTGTAAAAAAAAAAAAAAATTTGTGTAGGATTTACTAGTCTTACAATAAATTGGGCTTAAAATTGCCCAAGGGCCTGAGTCCCGTGACTGGTGCCATGCAGGCCTTCCAAAGTAATTGAATGATATTTAACTGGACAAGGCTTGGCCCAGTGGAAAATTGATTTTGGGTTTAAATGTATGGAACAAACTGCTGCACTTTGTTGCAGCAAAAATCTGAGTGATTTGTCACACCAGGAGGAGTAGGGGAATGATGAATCGTCGGCAAAAATCCATCTCCATTCACAATAAGAAGCCCCCTAACGTTATGCATAAGTTGTTTGCTCGTAGCTTGGATTAAAGGTTTGATTGTCTCTCCAAGGACATCCGATAAAATTCTAAGATCCAATACGGAGAAAATTTACACTTGGACCCTGCGCAAGAATGACACCTACAAATTGGAAAAGAAAATATTAAAAATTGAATTCAACGAGAATTTTTTTTCTCAGGTTGTCACCAAAATGTTGAACCAAACAGTCTCGAGAGATTCGCTGGAGTATTTGGTCGATTCTTCTTCTCGCATTACGGATATTTTTCTGAGGAGAACTTCTCCCTGAATCATCATCTAAGCTCTAAGGTAACTAGCTAGAATCTCACTTGTTCTATATATTCTATTGAGGCAAGACAGATTATAAGCTCGGCTGATGATCAGATGAACTCCTCTGGCACAGGGTCCTTTCTCCTTGGTCCTTTATGATTAGATTAATATTACCAACTAATACTAGTTCTATTATGGTCATTAATGAGCACATCTCGTTCATTGATTTTACTTATGTTCTCTATCGTCCCATTTTTATTAGTCTAAAATGGTCAAACCTTTGATGTAGTTTTTTTTAATTATTTTTATGTAGTATTTAAATTTAAACAAAATAAATTATTGAAAAGAGACCGGAAGACTATTTCATTCCAAATTTTCTTTTATGTAATATTCCCATCAATTCTTAATATAAACCATTTCGATTTGTCTAATCTAAAATGGTCAAACCTTTGATGTAGTTTTTTTTTTTATAATTATTTTTATGTAGCATTTAAATTTAAACAAAATAAATTATTGAAAAGAGACCGGAAGACTTTCATTCCAAATTTTCTACGATGTAATATTCCCTCCGGTCCTTAATATAAGCTATCGAGGTCCTTAATATAAGCTATTTCGATTTGTCGTACGTTTCATCTAATATGTATTTTTAATTGACAAAAATAATGTTAAAAATATTTTGTAACAATAAAGAAAATACAACAAATGCAAACAATTAAAAATGCATATTAGTTAAAAAAAATTTAGAATAAATTAAAATGTCTTATATTAACTACCGGATGGGAGTATTTTGGTAGTACCAACACCACTTGAGAAACAGGTGTTTATAAAAGAAACAAAACCAAACTAAAAATTAACGCTGGAATACACACACCTGTAATAATAATGTAAAGAACGTGGCAACATCAGACCACCAAATACCAACCAAAAAAATGTACACTCAGAAACTCGGATCATTCAAACAAAATTATCCTCTGATTTCAATTAAATTGGAAGTTTGAACATATTTGCTATTTACAAAATTACAGCCAACACAAGAAGAAAAGCAAGGAAAAAAAAGAACAAAACGAAAAGAAAGGATAACCATTAAACTTACAATTTTTTACAACCATTTTCCACTGTAAAAAAAAAAAAAAAAAAATACGGTGGGGAAGATGATGAAATCAAGAAGAAAAGAAACATCTACTTGCAGCATCACCGATTTCAGACCTGGGTTCCGAGAACACCCTTTTGACCAAATCCAATTTCTCCTCTCCATTCTTGATCTTCATGATGAAATCAGAAACCATCTTATTAGCCGAAACAGAGACACGAGGCAAGAAGAATTCAATCTCTTCTTCATTTGCCGCATCACCCGGATGACTTCTTCTGAAGTTTTTCACCCTCCTCTCATACTCCTCTGCAACTAACATAGCTATATCCGCCATCTTTATCTCTCTCTCTCTCTCTCTCTCTAACACAAACGAAAAATTGAAAAATCAAATAAAAAACAAGTCACCGTCTTGAATGCTTCTTATCTGTTTGATGAAATGTGGCACCCAAAAAAGAAATGGTATTTATAAGGAAAAGGGAGTCGGTGGGAGGAATCTGGATAAGGTTGTGTGTGTGTGCTGAGGAAGAAAGAGAGAAGGGATTATTTTAAAGGGGAGTTGGGAATGGTGGTTTTGGAGCCATGGATTATGATGGATTGCCGGTTTTCTGTTTGTTGCGTTTGGAGGATATTAAAAATTGGGAGTATAAAAGAAATGGGAAAGAAAGAAACTACTAGGTAGGTAAACTAGGTAGTACTATGTGACTGTGTGTATTTTGCCGCACCAGTTGTAATTTGTTTAAGCGTCACACAGGTTTCATGCGCCCGAGGATTGAGGTTCATTGTATTAAAGAAATACTGTGACCTCACATTTATATATTTTTGCATTCATCGTACATTCACTGATACGTTTTCTTCTATTTTAAAATAATTATTCCGTTTAATGATATAATACTTTAAATTATTATTATAAGACAGAAAGAGCGATTGTAAATTTCTTTTCAATTACACAATTTACTAGAGCAGTCTAGTAGTAATGCTAGTCACTCATATTTATTTTGTTTTTTTGTGTCATTTTATCTCTAATATACAAAACCCAATACATTATCCAAACAACATTTTAACTTACTTTTTAAAAAATATTCCAAAAATTATCTTTACACAATTTTCATCCACCACCACCGGACCACCTCCACCACTTACCTCCGCCGTCGGACCGCCTCTTGCCGTCGTGGGCCTAACTCGCCGGAATTTAGCCGGATTCCAGCCGGCGGCAATTCAGCGGCGGAGGAAGGTAGTCTGGTGGCGGGGTAGGTGGCGGAGGTGGCCAGTAGTGGTAAAAAAATATTATTATTTTAATTAAAAATCTATCCAAATAATTTTTAAATTTTCTCTCAAAACACATTTTAAATCACGTCTCAAACTCAAATAAAAAACTAAACTAAAACGCAAAATAAGATGTTGGGTCGCAATATGAAATTCGAAACCCAAGTCAGAACTCAGAAGTTTTGGGGAGCAAAAAGAAAAGAAGAAAAGAAAAAAAAGAACAATTTTAGTATCACTAGTGAATAAAGTTACTGATGGCTTAATGATTTTGGGAAAAAATATTTGTAGGAACTATAAATTTCTTTATTAATTTATCTTTTAATTTGATACACTATCTCTAGTGTTGCTCTGGGTATTTTATTCCCCCAGTTTATTCTTTTTCTAAAAAAAAAAAAATGAAGAAAATAGTCCGCTTTTTGTTATAGATAGATTGGATGTACTGAATAAAGTAAACTATTCAAGTATTACCATTAGTCCTTTTCGAAATGGAAATACTAAACTATAATTAATTAATTATTGGTCGGTAATTAGTCTAAACCTATGGAAGCTAGGTGCAATTTTCTTGATAGTACCCTTGGAAGCCACGTAATGCTGACTGAAGGCTGAATCGGAAATAATACTACTATTCCTTTGATTCCTTGTTTGACTAATTGAAAATTCGTTTTCATATAACTTTACAATTAATTCGTGCTTACTTTTCTTGAGTGTTCACGAAGGCAGAATAATTTGTTCTTTATTTCAAAAAAAAAAAAAAGGATTAAACGCGCAGAAGTTTATGTCAAATCAGAATTTCAAATTCTCGATCACCCACTAATTGTTACATCAAAGATTTTCAAGTATATATATATTCACTGTTTAGGGTTCGTTTTTTTGAATTAAATTGTTAAATATCTAAGTTATAATCCACCGGTAGAAACTCTAAAAAAAGATTAAACGAATCAAGATCGAATAACGCCAATAATTTTGGGGTGTCTAGATTGTTTGGCATATAATTTAACGAAGTCACATGGATTACTAACTAGATTGCAAATGTGTTTTCTTTTCATAAATATGATATGAATTGCATTTAAACGTACACCGAACGCTATGCTTTCACACTATATTAAAAAAATATACACATCAAAATGAACGGTTTAGTGCTTGTTTGGATGTTAACTTACATTTCATTTTGCCACTTAAAAGTGGAAAGTGTTTCAAATTAAAAATTAAATGGCAAATAAAAATGTTGTTTGGATGTTAGTTTTGAAAAAAAGTATTTTGAACTACATTTTGAAATATCAAGTACAAATTATCACTAAACAATTAAATACTGTCAATTATAGTCACTGCAAAAAATAACTTTTTCAAAAACAATTACTCAATAACGGAATCCTGCCAAATTTGTTACTGAACTATTTGTAGTTCTAAAATGGTCCTTACACTAACAAAAAGTGTTTCAAGTTGGAATTTAAAATGTAAATCAGAAAGTTGTTTGGATGATGTTTTTTTTTCTATTGGGTTTTGTTTTTAATAGGTAAAATGAGTGAAAAATGTAAAATGGAAGGTTGTCCAAATAAGGCTTAAACTTTAAGAGTTTTTTTTTTTTCGGTCGTCCAGTATATTCTATTGGTGCTGTTCATGTCGCAAAAAGAGTAGAACGAACACATGCAACATATGGTTATTATTGCTTAACAATTATTGGGAAAGGTCCATTATCCCAAGTTCAGCATCATCCATCAAAATCATCCCATTACGCCGTATACGAGATATTTACACTCAAAATAT